AGGCATCATGTATGACCGAAATCCAGTTGTTTATTGGTTAGCGCCCGTCATGAAATGAGATGAATTATCGTAATGGGAGGGAACGACGATAGGTGATATAGTGCAAACAAATAGAAGAGTACATTATCGGTTGACGTGAAGCGTAAGACAATTAGGGAAGCAACAGATTGAGAGGGAAGAGAGATAAAAGGGAATGACATGGTGCATAGTTGGACGGTCACAGTCGAATGTACGAACAGGGACGATTAGTGATGAGACAAATCGAAGACGACGCCAGGATAAGAGGGGAGGAGAGGGTGCGTGATCATAGAGAAAACAGGGACCACACGGAAATAAAACAATCCACGGCACTATTCATTGGTGTCCTTGAATTTCTTGGCTTTGGGCTTTGCGGGTTTCTTAGGAGACTTGCGAGTCACTTTTGGAGGCGGAGGTGCGTCTTCTTCTTCTTCGTCTTTGGATTCAAATTCATCCTCAACGTAGCTGACGGGTTCCTGAGTGACCGCCTTACGTTTGCCTTTGACGTCTGGAGTAACCTTCGCGTTCTTGACAGGCTTGGTTGGAGTAGAGCTGGCAACATGTCTAAGGAGGATATCAGAGTACGTAGAAGAAGGAGAAGTAGAGATGGACTGACTTTGCGGGGCGGACGCGCCCTGATGGGGTTACTTGGCCACCTGGAACAACCTTTTTGTTCAAAGTGTCGGAACGGCCGGTGCAATTGCTAACGCTGGTGACCTGTATTAGAGAGAAAAAGGTCAGAGAAGTAATATCACGGATACAAGAGTTGAAGACTGACCTCTACAATCCATCGATTATTTTCGTCGTCCCAATCAACAATGAACCCATTTATCAATGTTTCTCGACCAACTTGAATCAGGCCTTGCGCGCTTTGGAGGTTTCTAGTAGGCCGGATACGGTACTCCATCTCGAATTGGTAATCTTCGCGGATCTGTAGAAACATATGAGCGGTAGAGCAGGAGTTGTGGTAGTGGAATAACGGACCTGAGGTTTGTATTCAATATGTTGCATGACAAAACACAACATATTTTCCTCCGGTGGTGCCGTCCGGGATGGTGCTTTTAGAATTGACAATGCC